GGGCACATCTGCCTCACAATGCCGTACGATGCAAGGCGTTTTGGCCACACTCATTCAAGGTAGAGGATGCGGTTGGAATTTGCCTGAAGACCGCGAGGGGAATACGGATGCAGGTGGCAGCCAAGTTTGTTTTCCCTGTTCCATTACAATTTCAGAAACAACGATTGAGCGTACAATGATGAATGCCTTTCGTGAAACTATTGCCTTTAAAACAGCCGCTCGCGGCTTGAACGACCGTAACTTTCGTATACCTCCACGAGATTGACAAATGCTCTTTTAATAATTAGATAACAAAAGAAGAAGACGAAACATGGCGTCTTTGCCATGAAATATGCTGCGTGTTTTTGTTCCTTTTTCTCTTTGAACGAGTTTATTTATTTATTTATTTATTTATTTATTTATTTTTATTTTTTTTTTTTTTTTTGGCAGAGGGTGTTTCAGCCCGTGAGCAATCAGCGTTTGGCATTGGGGAAGTTTTTTATTCCTCGTTTTTTGTTTTCTTTTTTTTCCTCTCGCATTTTTATTTCTCTTTTTTTGGTTGTGTTGGTGGTGGTAAGTGAAGAAAGGGAAGGTGCGATCCAATTAGTAAGGCAGTTTACATGTCCAAGGATTTTGTGCATGCGAAAGGCATCGTGTGGAAGCAAAGGGCTGCACCGCGTTCCATTGATCATGATGGAGTAATGAAGCGTGTAGTAAATGTAATAAAAGATGGTAATGAGTCCCTTTTATTCCATTGGATGAATACGTGTGATGACATCAACGTGAGAGATTCATGGGGCAATGCGGCACTTCACTGGGCTGCGGCGCTGGGTAAACTAAATGCCGTGACACATCTTCTTCTTGCTCAAGCTGATGTGAATGCGGTGAACATGAATGGGGCGACTCCACTTCATTGTGCGGCGATTTGTGGGCACTCAAACATCATCCGGCAGCTTTTGCGGAGCGGAGCGGATGTCATGGCGACGAATCACGAAGGCCAGACCATGATTGACTTGTTGCGATATATGGGCTGGGACAACGCATCTATTCAGCAAGAGCACTCGAGGAACGTGTCCCCTCTCAGTCCAAGTGGTCATGAAAACCTTGGAGAGGAACTTTCCTTTTCGGATGGAGCTTTTTTGGGCTCTCTTACAGCTTATGCTCCGCCGGATTCACCCTACGTTTATGAAGTCAATGTAGAGGTGAATAACCATCATCACGATCTGAGAACAAAGGAGATTGGAGAACCCTTGTGTGTGGAAAATGATGCGAGTAACGATGTTGCTGGGGAAGATCTGGTTTGCATGCAGTGGCATGCTGAAATGGAACAACTGTTTTCCCGTGAATCGGCGGAAAGAAATGAATTGATTAGTAAATACGCCAAATGGATGCTGCAGGTAACGGACACAATGAAATCTGACCATTCGGCCCCCACTGAAAAAGAGCGTAAAGAAGTTGGTGTTGTGCTTGATGCCAAATATTCACCACAAGGGTCGGATCAATTTCTGGTGCACCTGACGGGTGATGCCGACAGTGAGGAGTTGCGGGTGAAGGCGGACGACGTTAAGGATTCCCCGGTGGCGAAGGCGTACGTGGAACCCCTTAAAACTTCAACCATCACTCCGAACATTTCAGGCGAAATCATCGGTGGGGATGTTCTTCTTGCCCGTGAACACTCGGAGGATGCGGAACAGCCAGAACTTCCCAGTCTGCTGCGTGGAATTCCTTGTGGGAATTCACAAATTTCTAAAAGTGCACCGGTTTCCAACGTTCCAAATGCTTCAATTGAACACCTGCCACCACTGCGGATTTCACCGTCGATGAAGTCTTCGCCGGCGCTACTTGTGAATGAGAAGAGGCCGACGGATTCATTGAGCCTCCCGTCATGCAATTTAGTCACGGGGATTTTGTCACAAAACGTCGCCCACGGGGATACACCGCATAACAGCATTTTGACCATATCAACGCATTCAGATAAAAACAAGATAAAAAGCAGCCCGAACAGTAGCCCTGCTAACCATATCAACTGTGGCGAGAAAACACTGCCTCCTTTAAAGCTGAATAAAGTGAATTATAATGCCGTTGCTTCTGTGAGAGAGGCGTCCAAGATTCGTCAGGGTGGTGTGTTTTGTGGCGAGAAACGGAATGCTAATCGGGAATATTTATCCGAAGAAGAAAAAAGAATATACGAGGAATTTCTTCGAAGGTCTGCCCTGAGGTATTTGGGTCGCATAGTGGAACTGCGGAAGGCATAATCCCGTTATTGTCCAATCCGTAGACTCTTTTTTTTCTTTTTTTTTTTTTTTTTTTTTTTTTTGTGTGTGTGTGTGTGTATCTTTTGGTTATTTTACTTTTGCTCTTTTCTCCTTTCTTTTGCTTTTTTTTTTGTTTGTTTTTGCGTTGCGAGTACTTGGGCACTGTCTTGGTTTGGTTTATTGCGATTGTGTGTGGCGTGTGTTCTGCCTTTCTCTTTTTGAATATATAAAGCAGTTTATATGCATAAACATAGATACATACACTCACCCCACATGTATAAATACTTGAAAATATAAATATGTATGTACACGCATGAAAATGCATAATTATTGGAGGTTAAATTTGAGTTGGAGCGTTTTTATTCGATAATTCATTTTTTTTTTGTTTGTTTGTTACTTTTTTATATGTTTCTCACACCAATTTGGGGTTGCTCAAAGTGGTGGTGTTGGTGTTGGTGGTGATGGGGGGGAACAGCAGTCTGTTTTTGCCTCTGCGGCGATGTGGTGGAAATACATGGCGTTTGTTTGTCCTTTCCTGTGCATGTGGCGTTTTGTTAGCAATGAAGACGACGCATCACCTCAAGTCCCTCATAAATGACTTGGAGGTGTACGAGCGAGAGCTAAAGGAGAAAGTGCAACAGAAGGAGGAGGAACTGAAGCAGCTGCTGCAGCGTATTGGCCCCGTTACTGTAATTGCAGGCTTACCGCCATCGTCGTTCTCTGGCCCGTGGCATCTGCGTATTACACGTGAAGCCGATGGGAAGACGGACAGTGAGGGAGTTTTGTCGCCATCTCCATGCATTACAGAAGAGAGACGACACCTTCAATACACCGTCGGTGGCGGAGACTCTGTAGGCAAACACCGCAGTGAGAAGAGCGACGCGAAGCAAAGGAAAGATACATTGCTCTCAATCGATATTGACGCGGTTTCTTCAATATCTTTCGCCAGTACTTCCTCCGCGGAGTCTGTTGAGACTCTTGAAATGGCGCAGCAGCTTCTGACTGTGTGCGACAGGGCAAAAGATGGGCAGGCACGCCGTGTGCGTTTTGTAAGTCGAAGTCCTCAAGTCCTATCCAATGCTGTGGAGGCATTGGCTGCTGTGGCGGCAGTGGAGGGGGAGACGGGAGAAAAAGCACGCGGAACCCCATTGCCGCTCTCCCAGGCATCTCAGGCCCTCACCGGGGAAGGGGGTGACACAGACAACAAAGATCTTGATGCTTTAATGCTTATCAGAAACATTACGGCGACATCTAACATGGGCCTGGAAGCCACTAACCATGCGGATTTGCCCAGTCGAGTCCATGAAGATAATGAAGAACCATGTTACATACGAGGACGAAGAAAGCAAAAGGAACAGCAACAACAGAAAGAAGAGGTGCAACTTCATCCACTTCACACCGTTACGAGTGACGCATCACCCACTAATGCGGAAGATATTTCGGCGGTGGTGGAGCTGCCGAAGGTTAATTCTACACCAGGCTCTTGTGTCACACGTTCATTACGTCGGCACAGGAGCGAAAGCGGGCAGCCGCAGCAATTATGCAGCGGTCCTCCCGCGAAACGTTCACAAATCTCTGTTTCTCCTACAGTCAGCGCCGCTTGGCCTTACCATGTGAGTGACACTCAGATGGAGGGCAGGGGTGCCGGCATCATTCTTGCCTGTGGCCCCACTTTGTTCTTTGAATAACCACGTCATATTGTTCTTTTCACAATTTATATACATATATATATATATATATGTTTTTCTTTTTAGGTTTTTTTCTTTTTTTTTTTTTTGTGTGTGTACGCGTGTGTATTTGTGTTTTTGTTTGTTTGTTTGTTTGTTTGGGGGAAGGGGAAGGTTTGTTCGAATTCCTTTAAAATACACAGTGGCATATGTGTATGTTTTACATATTATACACGCAGCCATGATGCTTGGTGGTTCTTTTATTTATTTGTTTACTTTTTTTTTTTTTTTTTGCCGAAGCTGCTGGGGAAACAAAAAATAACTTCATTTGTGAAGAGAACGACGATCGAATTGTCCGACACGTGTGTTGACGTTGTGTCCGTTGACGGAATAAGAGACGTGTCCTCTCATTTATTTATTTATTTATTTAAATTTCTTTCTCTCTTTCCATCTCCGGGATGAACAGAAAGCAGGGCGAATAGAAGAAAACTACGCGAGGGAACAAAAACAGAGTAGAAAGCGGTGGGAGGAAAAAATCCAACGGGAAAAGGAAGAGAAAAACACACAAAAAAAAAAAGAAAAAAAAAAAAAAGAGGGTTGGGGCTGGAAGGTCATGGCGGAGGAATACGAAATTGGCCTCACCGTTCGCAAAGTGGCGGAGGAATTCCTGAAGCTGAAGATGGACTATGAGCGCAAAAATGACGATGGATGCAAGAAGCTTTTGGAGAGCATCAAGAAAAAACTTATTCTGCTGCCAACGTTTCTCAACCCCACAGCACATAGCCGGACACGATCGGAGGAGTTAACACTCACCCGTGAGGTGCTGGAGCACGGCGTGTTGGTCAGTGCGCGCCTCGGGGACCTTGATAGCTTTGAGCTCTATTTTAACCAACTCAATGTGTACTACACGGATATTGATAGCAGTGAGCTTCCTGAATCCCCGTTGTACCTGCTCATCCTTGGACTCAATTTGGTTCGTCTGCTGGTCCGCAATCGCATTGCGCAATTTCACTCCGAGCTGGAGAAAATACCCAACCAAATTCACGGCACGAACACTTACATTCGCTTTGCCGTTCTCCTCGAGCGTTACTTGATGGAGGGAAGCTACAAGAAGCTTCTCAATTCCCGCCACCAAGCACCTTCAAACGAGTACATTCCTATCGTAGGGATGTTGGAATCCACCGTGCGGCAGGAGGTGGCGGAATGCATCCCTCGTTCGTACAACACTCTTTCCATAGACAAGGCACAGAAAATTCTTATGGTTGAC